ACGTTTTTAGTCATGTTTTGGGTATTAACCGAATTATCAAATAACATAAAAATCCATAAATTTATATTTTGATACTATCTAATATAGTCCGTACCTTATAAACTTTACTTTTACTTTTATAATATTCAATATATATCATAAGTTTTTGTATAACATTAGTATAATCTACTTTTCGTACGTCCGATAATATTTTTGGATAAAATAAGAAATAAGTTGTTTTGAATAAGTTATTAATAAACATTATTGAACTAATAAACTTTGTATTATACTATTTATATTACACCTAAACATCCAAGGTTTCATACATGAACTTTCAAATAGTAAACATTGAAATTAAGAATAAAGTCATACAAAATATATCATTATACATAAATGTCATCAAGAGTTTTAAAATAAGTTGATTTGTAAATATGATATTTAATTTTAATTACATATTTTGCTAGGCGTACGTTTCACTTTATATTGGTGCACCGAGAACCCTCTTTCTTAATTTGGACCTAAAAAATTAAGGTGAATAGAAAAATAAAATAGATATAACTAAACATTAATATAAATAATTAAAAAGCATATGTGGATCTCCTACTACCGGTTAAAGACACCATACATCTCTAGTATTATCGATTCCTATGTGAAATTGAAGTAGTCATTCTATGTATACCTTATTTTCTAATTACATAAACAAATATGAGTAACCAAACATAAAAATATTATTTTTATGTAAGAAAAATACTTTAGTTGACTAACAAATTAAATAATATAAGTTTAAGAGTTAGGAGTTTGAAAACATTAATATTTTTATTAATCAATCAATAAGTAACACACATTGAAATTTTTACAATCATTATTAAAAAGCATTTGAAATATTAGATTTTAAATGAATTTTGATTGATGTGTTTTTCTATTTTATATATATATATATATATATATATATATATATATATATATATATATATATATATATATATATATATATAAATTAAGTTCTTAAGGGTAGTTAAGGTTTTGCAACTTAGAACGTTAGTACAAGCAACACATTAGAATAGTTGACGCAATGAAAATGTTATGTGATTCTTGATTTGAATGTTTATGTTAACTATTTTTTTTATATTTGTTCTTGTTTTGTTTATCATCCTAACAAACAAAATGGAATGACCACAAACAAAGTAATTGGCTAAATAAAAGAACACACACAAGAAGTTCTATTCATTTATCTGTTCGTATTCGTTCGTTTGTTCGATTAACTTAAATGAATGAGTTCAAATACATCCCAATTTTGGTTAATAGGTTCAATGCAAAGTGATGTACCGATCATTAAATTCCTATTGATTCGAACATTTAAAGAAATATATGATAAAAATGAGATAACATCCTGTGAAACAAAGTTTATATAGAAAATCATACCATATACATTGAATTAACTAGGTAAAAAAAATTAATTTTTTTATTCAAGTTAAAATTCATGTGTTCTAATGGAGGTAAATTATGAGAACTATTGTGGAAGCCATATGTGCTCTAGACAAATGCTATGTTTAGCATATTAGCTGAAAAACCAATTGATAATTGAAAAACTAGTTGATAAAAAATAACATTTGGCAAAAACTAGCTGATAAACTATCTAAAATATATAACATGACATAAAAGAACATTTAAAAAGTACGTTTTTGTAATTAAATTAGTGTATGTTTAGGGAATTTTTAAAAAGCTCCTAAAAAATTACTTAAAGTAGGTTTTTAAAAAGCTAGCTTATAAACTGACTTATCAGCTATTTTTTGACTTGCCAAACATGACAATTTAAAAAAACTCAAAAAATAAGCTAGTTTATCAATTAGCTGTGGCGCGTCAAACAAAACCAAAATAATATTTAACACATAAAACTAAAATTGTTTTTTTTTTTTTTGAACGGCAAAAATATTATTAAAACCCCATTGGGGAACTGGAAAAAAAATACATCGACTAACCAAGATAAGAAAATAATAAACTAAGAACTAAATATAAGAAATAGAGCTCAAGACAAGGGGAAAATGATCCAAACTACATCAAGAATTATGATATTAAAAAGCACCATATGTGTATTGAGTATGTATGTAACGAAATTAATATCTCCAAATCACCAAAACTCAAAACAGCTCAACACCAAAAATCAAATGAAAATTGGTGTTTAAATTATGAATATTTAGGGTTTATTATGTTAAAATATAATTTCTGGAGAAAATCCCGCTTTAAAATCACGAAAAACGGGCTTAAAATGTTAAAAATATCAAAAATTAGCTAAAAGTGACAATTTTCCGAATTCTGGCTGAGGTTCGGCCTTCTGATGCTGAAACCGAGAGGAGGGAGGGTAGAAACCGAGAGGGGAGAAGGGAGAGGAGAGGAACTGAGAGGGAAGAAGAGAACAGAGAGGCGGGTAGAGGCAGAGAGGAGAGAAGGAGCAGAGACCGAGAGAAGGGAAGAGAGAGTAGAGACCGAGAGGCGGGTAGAGACAGAGAGGAGAGAAGGAGCAGAGACCGAGAGAAAGGAAGAGAGAGCAGAGACCGAGAGGCGGGTAGAGATAGAGAGGAGAGAAGGAGCAGAGACCGAGAGAGGCAGAGACCGAGGCTCGGTCTCGCATGCCTCAGCCAACAGAGGCTCGGTTCTGGTCCTAAGAGGCCTCTCTTCTTGGTTTCAGTTCCTAAAGCCTATTTTTCTCGTTTTCGTCCCGTTTTAAGCCGTTTTTGACCCGGTTAAGGGTCGGAATGACCCGAATGATTCTAAAAAGTTACGGGAACTATTTGAGGGAGATTTGGGAGAGATTTCTCATACTTGGAGAGATTTGGGAGAGATTTGACATTCTTGGAGAGATTCCTCATACAAATAGATATTTGAGAGAGGTTTCACATACTTGGAGAGATTTGGGAGAGATTTGACATTCTTGGAGAGATTTCTCATACAGAGAGATATTTGAGAGATATTTCACATACTTGGAGAGATTTGGGAGAGATTTGATATTCTTGGAGAGATTTCTCATACAGAGAGATATTTGAGAGAGATTTCACATACTTGGAGAGATTTGGGAGAGATTTGACATTCTTGGAGAGATTTCTCATACAGAGAGATATTTGAGAGATATTTCACATACTTGGAGAGATTTGGGAGAGATTTGACATAGAGAGAGATAGAGGGAAAACGATTGAGAGAGGTTCCATGTGTGACAATTGTGAGTGTCCGGCATCGCAATGCATGGTTCATAAACCCTGTTAAGCCTTGTTTAAGGATCTTACACACTCCCGATGAGTATGCAACATTGTTTTATCGGTTTGGGCTCGCCACGTACCACAGTTTTAGGTTAAGGAGATCTAGGTGTTCGCACTTTTTGCTTTATGCTTTCTCATTAGAATAGAGAGTTATGTAGAAGTTTCATAATGTAAATTATAGTACTCACGGGCAAATTGAGTCAAACGGTTTGACTTGTTGACTTCGGTTGACTTTGACTTGACCGAAATTTGACGGTTGTCACACTTAGTTATCCTTATGGATTAATCTAGAACTCTAAGGAGGCTCCATATTTTTTCCTGCCTGAGATAATTTTAGAATCCTTCTCTTGTTCAAGTATTAAATAGTTATAGCTTAGGTCCTTTCACTTTTAATTAATCCAGTTAATCCTAAAATTAATTCTAATTAATTGTTAATTTAATAATATTATTTCTAATCAATATATTAACCTTAAAATATTTTAATAAATGATTTATTGCTATTTATTAATATTATAATAAACCAATAAATCAACCTCTCTCTCTAAAAGTCATTCTATTAATTACTAGTTTTGAGGGTAACCTAAAAGGAATTTGCTTTTAATTCAAGTGTATACCAATTTAGTTATTGGCTTAGACACCTAATCCAACAGTCTTCCACTTGGATAAGTCTATAACTACAATTACAAGTATAACTTCTAAATTAAACAACAAAGGGTGTTTTCCAAAGCAACTCTAGACTCTGATATGATCAGATATCGGTACTAAGGTAAGTGATCAAATATCCCTTTATTTTTCAAGATATCATATGGAAATCATACATAGATTACAATCATTCTCTTATCCAAAATTATGTTTTCTAATTTCCCGATCTGTTCTGACCACATAAGACTACTAATTGAACATATCAATTCAGTACTAGCTGGGGGCCAACACTACAATGTCAACACCTAATCACCAAGGGGCCCAAATATATCACTTTTTCAGTTAGGAAAAAAGAAATGAATAATTTTCGACTAATATTCTCGTATCTTTTACTCACAAAATCATGCATTACACTACATTTTATAATATCATGTTATTGATGCGTTTACATATCACCAATGCACAACCGACTTGTAAATTACAACTCATATATCTCTATTTTAAGAATATAAGATGTTATCATCTCAGAATTACTGGTGATATAATACATGAAGTAATTCCCTGAGCGTGGGTTTATCCAATACTCAAAATCTTCATTTTTTTAAAGTACACATGAATATTGTAGCAATCACTGTTATATTAAATCTCCATAGACCATATACAATCCATTCATGACAGTCTTGATTCACTACTTACTTCCAGAAGTATGAACAACTATGGAGTTTCGAATACTCAAATCATTTAAGAAGTAAAACATACAACATAGAACCACTACTAGAAAAAAGGCCTTTTACGACGCTCATTGCGCATCATAAAACGCTTAGACGACGCGCAAATGCGCGTCAAGGAAGGCCCTGTCATAAAGAGAGACGACGTGCATTTACGACGTGCGGTTATGACACGCAATGCGTATCAAGGAAGCACCAGCCAAGAAAGGCCATGTCATAAATGAAGACGACACACATTTTGGCGTATCGTAATTTTAATTTTTTTAAAAAATATATATATTTATATATTTATTAATTTATAAATTAAATAATACATTAAAAATATCATAATACAAAATAAAATACCATAAATAACAAAGATAATTCAATTCACTAATATGTCAAATACAAATAATTATTCCAATAGTAAGTAAATGTAACACATTGCTAATATTTCATAGTACTTATTATAGAAAACAAAACATGTACAACATTAAAAAGAAGCCATGACTAAATTCTCCTTTGACAATTTCCTTTCTAAAAAGAATAACCTGATGCAGGAACTTTGAAAGGCTTCAGGGTGACAATTTGGTTGAAAGTTGTGATTTATAAAATGACCCAAGTTTCTTTTAGCACAAGCATCTATAACCTGAAAATAAAACAATAAAAAAGAAACCATGTGAATAGAACTTTATGATAGGAATCACAACTACCAGTAGTTCTATTTTCAGTTTTTTTATTGAGGAACAGAAAAGCATGAGGGTAGACCTTTATGACTGGGCATGGAGCAGTTCTTGGTGTAGTGTTGATGCTACATCTAAATGATCATAAATGTTACACATCAGCAAAACTGATTGGACAGATTTGATGTAAAAAGATTAAATTTATGCACCCAAAACCTGATGTTGATGACCAAAAGCAATGGAATCAGCAAACCAAACAGATGACTCGTTTTGCAAATCTCTCCCAAAATATGCACTTGCTCTTTCAACATATGGGAGTCTATCTCTCTCCCTGATGGATAATCAGTTAGCATCTTTTCCCCTTTCTGGCCATACTTTTGGGAAGCTACAGGGTAGTCCCCAGATGTGAATTTTGGTGAGTCTTGCATGGTTGCCACTTCGCCCTTGTAAATACTAAATAAAATGTTACGTATGTAAATACTAAATAAAATGTTAAAAGAAGCTTACTCATGTGTCTGTTTGTGGCCACAAATGCAATCTTTGAAAATGTCCCATAGGTAAAGCTTTCGAAATATAAACAACCATTTCATGTAATGCACCCTTATCAAATTCTCTTGTCTACTTTTTGTTTTGGTTTTATGTCTATTTAGGGTGTGCTATGGAGCAATAAATAAATTTATTCAGACAGAAAAGTCAAATTTTCAAGTCAAGGCAACCCAATACAAAAAACTTAAGAATAAGAGTAAAGTAGCCAATATTGTAGCATGTTGGATCACCTTTTTCAGCAATCGTCATCCAAAAATCTGGTCCTCATGGATAACATAACAATCACGTTTTAGTTAACAGATATGGGAAAATAGGAAATAAAATACAATACCTGAACCCGATACTGGGCTCTCACTGTGGGTGGGCCCACTCTTATCAAGAAGATACCCAACTTCTAAAAACTCTAATAGAGATTCCGTTTGAGGATTACAAATATACCCTGGGTTTTAACAAAATATATATATTTCTTTATTTATTTTAGGAAAGAAAAAAATATGTTGTAAATACAAAAATATACCTGAAAAGGAATGATTAGCGACAGTTTGAGAAGAATAACAGTGCGAACAAACTCAAAAGGTTTATTACTCCCTCTGGATTCCGGTGGAATCGGAATTCGAGATTCCATTTCATGCCGTGTTTGGTTGACAATTTGGACTCAACTCAACTTTTCCAGATTTCTTGAAATTCCATGTTTGATAATACAGCTAAGAATTGGAATTCCATATTCCATTTTGAAAAACCGGATAAATTCAATTCATTCTAATTTCATATTTAATGGACTTTAACCATTCGTGGGGGTGAGTGGAAGGAATTCAGTTTTACTCTTTCTTTTTTATTAAATGATGAAATACCATTATAATATGTTCAAAAAGAGAGTGAACCTTTGATAGTGCAAAGAGTTAAGAGTGCATGCCATTTTTAATCACAGTTGAAATTTGGTTGAAATCTTTCCATTAAAGAAACAAAACACCAAAAAGCTTCTGATTCATCTTGCATGATGAATAAGATTAGAGAGAGGAGATCACTCATGCCCTGTGAGAAAAAAGAAATTATTTATTTCAAATATTAGCAAAATATTGTGTTTATAGTTTAAGAAAAACAAATAAAAATTAACGATCAAAGTTTGGTTCTGTTGCAAGGCTGGGTGTTAAAAAAACATTTATAAAACGTCTGTTAAGTCTAAGTAAAATGACTATTTTGCCATTATCTTCATCTTCTTAATCCCCTTCATCTTAGTTTAATTTTTGGGTTTTAGTCTGGTTGGAGTTTAAGATGGAGAATGAGGAATTTATAGGGTTAGAGGATGAAGGAGAAAAGCACAGGGGCAAAATAGTCATTTTACTTGGACTTCACAGACATTTTTAACACCATGGATAAATCTTGCAACAAAACTGAACTTTATCGACCACTTGTGCAACAAATAAAAACTCTTAATGAAAACCATAACTTTATATAAACGATATTTTATCTTAATGAAAACTATACCTGATTCATATAAACAAACCTGTTACAAACATGCTATAATTGGTATTTTACTTGTGCAACAAATAAAAATTCTAAATGAAAACCATAACTTTGCAGGTCACTATGGTTCGTGGTTACTATTAGTTAGTTGTTTCTCATTCATTAATAGTTTAAAATATGCTATAATTGGTATTTTTGAAGGGAGTTGTGCTGGTAAAAAGTTTAGCTGCTAAAGAACCTTCTGCACTTGGTCTGGATACTTATTACAAGCAATATTATCTCTGCTTGGCTGTTGCTGCTGCAACAACTATCAAGTGCTACCATTTGTTTATTGAAATATATATATATATATATATATATATATATATATATATATATATATATATATATATATATATATATGATTCATCATTTACATTCTTTTTTGGTGACAACAGATAGGATTCTAATCCTCCAAAATATTTGAGAAGCTAAATGAGGCTGTCAGTGTCTACCAAATAAGAATTTGTTAACTGCTTTGTCAAACACAGGATTGAAGTAGAGAAAGGAATATTCAACGAATAAAGTTATTACCCATAACCCATTTTCCCCTGATCAGAAAAAAAAAAAAACTAAATAAAACTGCGACAACTGTTTTTTTTTTATAGAAAACTAAGTCTACAGGGGCATTTTTTGCCAAAATCTATAGTAATATTCAAGCTATATAACAAAAATATAATGACCAGACAAAAGAAACCCAAGAAAGTTATTACAGAAAATTAAGTCTACAGGGGCATTTTTGGCATTTGTCCTTGAAATTAACGATTTGGAAAGTGCAACAATATTTACAAACTATTTCATTAACCTCATGACATGTTGTGATTACAGTATTAAATCAACACCAGATGAGATTGCAGGCGAGAATAAGAAAAAAGAATTTACCTCTTTCTTTATATTTTCCAAAAAGGGAACTTACAGATAGCATGAAAAGGATGAAACTTACAGCCAAAACAAGAAAAGGGATAACATATAGCATGACAACCATTACTCCAGAAAGCCCAAGGAACATCTGGAATATAAGGACATTAAATGATTAAAGTTTGAATGGTGATTATCTTAAAAATACTATTAATTAAATGCTTTGCTAGATGATTAAAATACCTTGGACGAAATATAAAATGAAGTGAAGCGAGGAGTGTCCCCCAATGCCAAGGATATATAAGCAGACATCACAAGGTAGCTTATCTGAAAAATAAGCAGAAATATAAACCATGTACCCTCACATGAAATTAGATCCATCAAACTAAAACACCATCAAAATTTCCCACATGGTGGACAAACACAAGAACACAAAACAAGCTCTTACCAAAATTGTTATAGTATCTGTAATACTTTCTCTTTTCAAAAGCGGCATTTTCACAAACACATTGTGGGCAAAATTTCACCAAGAAAGGAAACCAAATTAATTTCAAACGGCATCATCACAGTACCATTTATTCATTCTAGAAAAACTGACATACAACAAGATGAAACGTAGATTGACATGAATTCTGAAGCAAATCATACAACATACAGAAACCATTATCAACAGAGAATGAAAGTGGTGGTGAGCAACGACCGAGAGTCACCAGACTATGATTCAGAAGTCGTGATTTAGAACCCTAAATTGGAAACACAAAAACCCCAAATCTTTATAGAAACAATCAACAAAAGAGTTCAGTACTAGAAAAAAATAAATAGAATACGATTGTTTACCAAAATAGAGTACGGGATAGCATCCCGTATTATGTTGTACGCACTTACATCCGGCCTATGAATGCTTTGACGTCTTCCCTTAATAGCTGGTGTGTGATGAGTCGAATTGAGTTCTTGTATGCCAAAACCCTAGATGGATGTGAGATCGAAGAAGAAAAGCGTATGTGGGGGAAGTGTTTTTGAAGCTCTTGATGAAAATCATGATTATATGTAAGGGGGAAATAAAAGCCCTAGTTTTTGGTCGCCATTATGTGATCTTCAGGAATGAACGCCAGTTTTTAAGAAAAAATTATAGAAACGATTATATGAGTTGTCGAGGTGTATAGTAGAGATGGTATCGTGAATAGGGTTTGCAGAGAGAAGGGAATAAGAGAATGAAGGGAGATCTTGAAGCGGGTACTTAAAAATTTTAGAATTTTACGAGGATTTCATTTCCCCCTTTTAAAAAGCGCGTTTTGAGTAAAAATTATAAAGCAACATTCACAGAGGACGCACATTTTAAATAAAGTGCCCTCTGTGTTTTTAATTTTTTACATGAGACACTAATTTAAGGGCACGCAATAATGCGTAACCTAAATCCTTAATTTTTTTAAAGAGATGACACTTTTTTAATGTCACTCACTTTTGCGTAACATGAATAAATGAGTGTCGTGGTTTGCACATCGTAAAAGGGTCTTTTTCTTGTAGTGAACACAAGAATAAATAATTGAAAAATGTAATAGCCATACTTATAAATAATCTCTATTATTCAATCACCAAAGTCAATTACATTTATTTTATTACAAGTTTCAAAATATCAACTAACTACTAAAACTAATATCATCTCTCAAGCCTATGCTCATAGCATGTTGGTTATGATTAACCCTACTCATACCCTTCATGAAAGGATCGGAAAGATTATCTTCTAAGGATGCTCTCTTCACTATAATATGACATTATTCAACCCTATTTCTGATGTAATGGTACTTTTTGTTGATATGCTTCAATCTACCATGGTCCTTGGGCTATTAGGTGAAAGCAACTTATTCTTGATTATCACAATAAAATTCCAATGGCTCTTGAATGGTCGAGACTACTCCGAGATCATCGATGAAGTTCTTTAACCAAGCAGCCTCCTCCGATGCCTCACTCGTTGCGATGTACTCTGATTTACAAGTAAAATTAGCCACTATATCCTTCTTAGAACATTTCCAAGTCACTTCTCCACCATATAACTCAAACACCCAGCGCGACTGAGAACAAAAGTTGTCTCGATATGTTTGAAAGTTGGTGTCACAATATCTAGTTACTCTTAACATATCACTACCACCACAGACTAGAATCATGTCCTTCGTCCTTCGCAAATACTTAAGAATTTTCGTTATTGCAGTCTAATGAGCTCTACCTGGATTGTCTTGGAAACGGATAACCATGCTGAAATCATAAGACACATCAGGGAGAGTACATGTCATAGCATACATGATCGAACCTACAACCGAAAAATATAGGACTCGACTCATCTCAGCTATCTCTTCATTTGTACTACGGATTTGAGTCTTACTCAACCTGGAATTACTCTGAATAGGTAATTCTCATTTCTTGGAAATCTCCATACTAAAATTCTTTCGTATTTATCCAAGTAAGTACTCTGACTAATACCAATAAGTCTTTTCTTTCTATCCCTTAGAATCCTTATCCCAATAATATTGGCTACTTCCCCTAGATCCTTCATGGCGAAATCTTCGCGAGTCAATATTTCACTTTTTACAAGTTTGGGATGTCATTTCCCATAAGGAATATGTCGTCAACATACAATACTAGGAAAGTTACTATACTCCTACTAGCTTTGACATACACACAAGACTCATCCTCACTACTAGAGAAACCAAATTCTTTGACTTTATCATGGAAATAAATATTCCAGCTGTGAGATGCCTGTTTCAATCCATAAATGGATTTCTCAAGCTTACACACTCTATTAGGAAACAATGCATGTACAAAACCCTCTGGTTAACTAATGTAAACATCCTCAGCCAACTTCCCGTTGAGGAAAGTAGTTTTGACATCTATCTACCATATTTCATAATCATGAAAGGCAACTATGGAAAGCATAATCCTGATAGACTTGTGGGATGCTAACTCTACCTGATCGGCAAAGAGGTAATGAAATATCAATAGGATCGACAAGAGTCTCATCCTCTGGTTGAGAGCTAGTGCCTTGTAAGGTTCCTTCATTGGTTAATTATGTAGTTTTTCCAGATCAATACCACTCCCACTGTCTTCTTTGAATATGAGATCTCTCTCACGAAAGACTCCTCTTTGAGCTACAAAGACCAAGTTCTCACTAGTTCTGTAGAAAAAGTATCCAAAAGACTTATGAGGGTAACCAGTGAAAATACATCTCTCACTTCTAGGTTCTAGGTTTTCGTGGGTCTCTTTACTAAAGAAAGTTTCAGAATCCCAAATCCTGATGTGACATAGCAAGGGAACATTCCATGTCCACATCTCCTGAGGTGTTTTGGCAACCTTGTTAGTAGGGATAAGATTAATAATATGGGTGGTTGTCTCTAAGGCATACCCCTAAATAATAAATAGGAAACGAAGCTCGACTCATCATGGAATAAACCATGTCTAACAAGGTTCAATTTCTTCTATTAGCCACACCATTAATTTATGGTGTCCTAGGAGGAGTCAATTGTGAAAGTATTACACATTCCTTGAGATAGTCATGGAACTCGATACTAAGATACTCCCCACCTTTATCAGAGTGAAACCATCTTTATCTTCCTGCTTAGTTGATTCTTGACCTCGTGTTAAAACTCTATGAACTTTTCAAATGTTTCTGATTTACGTTTGATTAAGTAGATATACCCATATATGCTATAATAATCTGTAAATGTCATGTAGAACTTATTGTCATCCCTTATGGTAGATTTGAAAGGCCCACACACATCTATATGTATGAGGCCCTACAATCCTTCAACTCTTTCGCAAGACCTAGTGAAAGGTGATTTTGTTATCTTACCCAAAAGACAAGATTCTCATTCATCATCTAGCATTAAGTCAAATGATTACAACACTCCATCCTTTTGGAGTTAAGCGATGCATTTCTTATTAATATGTCCAACATGACAATGCCACAAGCATGCTTTGTCTACACCATTATACGAATCAATATTCAATACACTATTGCCAAAGCTATAAAAAGAAATCACATTTCATACACACCATTACAATGTAAAGCTTCAAACAAAAACACCATTTTTACAAGCTAAAATCGAATCATTCATATCATTAAAAGAATATCAAAATCCTTATCTAAAAAATGCATGAAAAGAAATAATGTTTCGTGCCATTTTTGATGAATATCAACAATTAATCAAATCTATCTTAACATCACTACTAAGCATTGTACTATAAGTTCCAATATTGGTAACAAGAGACGACCGCTTTTTTCCCATAATTAGATTTATTCTTCCATGATCCACTTCTTCAATTTCTCTTAGCTCTTTCAAATCTGAACAAATTTGAAATCCACATCCTGTATCAAGGACCCAAGAACATGTACGTTGTGAGTTATTAAATTGAATAGTGTACATATCTGCCAACAGTGGCTTGAACTTGCCATCCTTGATGTCTTTCAAGTATTTCGGGTAGATTATTTTCCAATGGCCCCTTTCAATACAGTAGTAGAAATTGGCCTCTTTGGGGTCACTAACATCAGGAATTTCTTAACTGGGCTTTGTCTTTGACCCATTTCTAGACGATCCAGGTTGGGCCTTGCCCTTCCAGTTCGATTAAGGTTTAGCCTTCCTTTTCTTTCCTTTGTTTTGCCCAATGGAATGGATGGGAGCACTTGTAGCAAAAGGGACTTGATTATTTTTCATCCCTAGTTCACTTGTATGCAACATGTTGTGAATTTGGTCCAATATGGTCTCTTTATTGTTCAAATGATAAATCAATATGAACTTATCATAACAAGAAGGCAAGGCGTTAAGGACTATGTCAATCACTAACTCCTCATCAAAATTTACATTGAGCCTTCCAAGACGCTCTACATATCATTGCATTCTCTACACATGATTGTAGACAGACTCTACCTCCTTCAACTTGCAGGCTATTAACACTTTGACGACCTCATACTTGAACTGACGCGCTCTCTTGGGGTACTTTTATGCAAGATCTAAGCCCGTCCCGTATCTTAATAGTCATAGAACCTTGGGAACTCAGGTACCATGGTTGCAACAATGATGCAAGCGACCTTTTTTATGTTGTTATATTGTTTCTTGAATAGACTCATAGATTTCGACAAGAGATTTATCGAGGACATATTCCTTGCCATCGTATTGAGGAGTCATCTTGAGATTTTGCATCCAATCCATGTAATTTGGACCAACTATTTTCTCTTTAGAGAGGATCGATAGTAGACTGAAGTTGTTGTTAGTGGATGATTGAGTAGTAGTAGCATCTCCCAGAGTAGACATCTATATGAGAGAAATAGTTTTAGTTAGTTGATATAAACTCTTAATATTTTAACCTGTTATTAATATTCAAGTCTAGGATCCAATATAACAATTCACAACTAAGAAGAGGGATGTCGTAATCTTATTACGAATTTATGAAGGTAGGTAAAAAACCAATTCCCCAATTTCAACTAATGAAGCTTCTAGATCTTTGAGC